GCGAACTCCGCCCGGATTTGGTCAAGGTCCTCCTGACGTCGTTTGGCCTTGGCAGGCTTCTGGCGGGTAAAACTATGGCGGGAGCAAGAACGCTGAAGCAAGCGTAGAAGAAACTGGTAGCCACACCGACACTGTTGAAGGTAGTTGTCGAACCAGTCACGGTGGTGCCGCTTGAGGTAGTTCACGAGGTTTGTGCATGTCACTGCCCTTTCGGTGTTACGCAAGTGTGACATGTAGGCTACCAAGGCCTCGGTGTTGGGAATATCTTCAGGTCTGCCGGCATCGTCGAGGTTAAGCGCTTAAGGTTACGGTTGAATGTTAAAAGGGTGGACTTCTGCAGGAGCCGTTGCGACAGGTTGCTCTTGGGGATGCCAGTAGCTGTTCCTAGCTCACGCGTTGATGATTGTTCGAGACGTGCGACCATTTCTCGCTTTGTCGCTTGCGTGTATCGCCGGTGAGACTTCTTGTGTAGACTTATCTTGTCTCATTGTACTGAGGTCATCGAAAAATGACTCGAATTCGTGCAGTCATTCAAAATTGCGCCAATATAAAATGTTTTCCCACCAACTCAGAATTACATCCAATCAAAACTTGTGTGTTGATATTGCGCGATATCATTGGTTAAAATAAAAAAACATGCTTATCAACTCAACAATCCGTCGTTGTCTGTATGTCAACTTGCACCAGGGAATTCAATGATGATTCCATCGGACATGCGAGACTTTTTCGACAGACCAACAGAGGATCCACTCCTTTAAAGATTGGGGGCAAATATAAGTAAAACAAAATATCAAAGAAGGGACTCGAACCCTTAAATGTTGCATCCTAAGTGTAACGTGTTTACCTATTCCACTAATTTGATTAATATATACCTAATGTTGAACTTGAACCAATAACCTTTTAGAGCATCTGCAGCGGTAGTTTCTATTTTATTGCTATTTTGGCGCGATTCTAAAATTAGCAACTGTGTGCCCCACCAATGAGTGGTTATTTTATTGCTATTTGTCGA